GATTTTTTCTTTTCTTTTTATACATTTCTGTATAACCTTTTTTTTTTTTGTTTCTCACAATGATGTATTTTTTAAATGTGAAAAAAAACCTTTAAAAGATAAAATTTAATTGTATTGGTGAATATTGATTTAAAGCAGGATGTCTTTAGTGTGACAGATCTCATGTGTACTGCAAGCTAATTAATTTTAAAGGACACTTCCCAAATGTGGAATGATAGTTCAGATGGCATAATTTGCTCTTTGGCCAGTGCTGAATTGCCAAATAGTCAGACACAGAGTATGTGCCTAGCGCATTAGCAAAAAAAGAAAGACACCAAAAAAAAAAAAAAAGAATATTTTTGGAGAAAAGTATTAAACTTTTGAAATTTCAGAAAAGTGTAAAAGCATTTGCCTAGGGAAAATATTAGAAAGTTGCTGAACTGATGTACAACTTTTTTATCTTTATAGATTTATTTATTTATTTTAGAGAGAGTGAGTATGGGCCGCGCAAGCAGGGGGAGGGACAAAAGGAGAGGGAGAGAAGCAGACTCCCCAGTAAGCACAGAACCTGAAGAGGGGCTCAATTTCAGAACCCTGAGATCATGACCTGAGTGGAAACCAAGAGGTTTCCGGCACCCCCTGATGTATACTATTTAATGATTTAGTATCATTTTTAATTTTAAGAACATGTAGGTGAAAAGATGCTTAGGACATATAGGTAGGAGGTATGGCTGAGTTTTTTTCAAGGTCCAGGATCTATAGGAATCTTAATTTGGTCCTAAGCACAGAAAAAAATTATGTTACCTCCTAACCTGGACGTCACAAAAGATAAAGACAATACTTAGCTGTAAAATAAGGGCACCTCAATCCAGCGATGTTCTGATTTTTCCCAGACAAATGCTTCTGTGCTTTTCCAAAATATCAAGAATCCCAACTTTTCTCCGAAATTTTTGTGCGTACCATTTTTGGGTGGGGGGCAGAGGTTGATACCCTAAGCATACATTTAGTCTATTAGCAATTCAATACGATCAAAGAGCAAATCATGACACCTGACATATTCAAATAAAAATTCAAATAAAATGAGTCACATTTAATGCAGATTTACTATATTTGATGTTTTTAAATTCTAATTAGCAAGATAATATGTTAAATGTTCTAACATGGCAGATTTGGGCTCATGGGATTTGGAATCCAGGTCCAATTAGACCATTTATCAAACCCCAACTTGGACAAGTCTAACTTCTCTGAGCCTGTTTCCACTTATTTAAAATAGTTATGATGACACAGTTTTCCTGGCACGACAGAATTTGGGGGAATATTGGATGAGAAATAAAGAATGTAAAATGACTTTGAGAACTACAAAAGATTATATTAATAAGGTATAATGGTGGTACTTTTCACAACTGTATTGTTTTCACATCTGTATATCTTATATACCCCAAGGAAATCCTATGTTGCTAGGATATGCAAATTGTTCTAGTCATATAAGAGCTCTACAAATAGTTTGATTATATGACTGATTGCTCTTGTGTAAAAATACATTTTTAATTGATAGAGTAATGCTTGGGATATAAAACAGGAGGAATTATAACTGACCTCTCATAGTAACACTCAAGTATAAATCTGGTTTATTTATTTCAGAAAAAACAGAATGTTGAGTTATGTTGAAACTTCCATGATAAATTCGGTTTTCTTTTAGGTTACAATCATGGCAAACAAAGAATTAATCCTTTGATGAACCTATGAGAAATGCAGAAAATGGTTTTGTCTTTTCTAAGTCATCCTGATGGGGAGTAGAAGCATGTACATAAAATTGAAATATGTTCTGAGGTCACTTGAAGAGATAAGGAACATCCTATCACAAAGTGAGGAATTAGATAATGTATGTTTTACTTCAATTAAAACAAGTTTTACTGAAGTTTAAATGCCAGTCAAAATATTTAATATTCCAATAAGAATGGCATTTCCAAGACAGTGTTTGAGAAATCGGGAATTAATTAAATTAGAATATTGCTAAACAATACATTTAAACAACTCACAGCTATCCTTCATATACTTTGTTCTTTCTGACATCACCTTATGGCTCTTGAATTAATTTGTATCTAGACCCCACTCAACCCCATTTTAGTTTTCAAAATTAGCCATACAAAAGGGAATAATTTTAATATGGCTGTTAAACATCACATTCCAAAAGTTGCTGAAAAAGGACTCTTATGAAGAGGCCAGTGTTCAGTTCCCTACATTGTGACAAGATAACATATATTATCCAAGCAGATGGTCAATGAAATTCTTTAAAAATATCCAAATTCTGTAACTTAGAAGCCCATTGCAAAATAGAGCCTTACTGTTATAGATCTAGAAGTACCAGATATTAAACAACCAAAGCACACTCTAAAATGGGCAATTTACACTGGAAAAAGCCAGAGAAGTTTTTGAGAAAGAATCTAGCCTACTCCATCCCAAATAAATGCATGTCTAGGTCATACTCTCAGAGGTTTTGATGAAAGAAGAATGCACTGCTTTATCTGGTTGCCCAGTTGACAACTCAACTTTGCTATCAGGAAGTTCCACATCCTGTATTTGTAGTCCTCATTCTTCCTAATGAAGTTGAAGCTCATTGACTATATTTTAGGTTCCAAACAACCCCCAGCTCTTCTGAAACAAACGATTGTCATCTCTTAATTTTCTCTTCTCCTAATGAAATAATCCTAGTCTCCTTATCCTTTGTTAGAGAATACAACTTGTAGTCCTTTAAACACACTTCACTTTTGTGTGGCCCCTTAGTAAAGGCCATAAAATTGTCTTAAGCTGTGGGATCAAACACTAGGTCTAAGATTCCCATCAGGGTCTGACCACATAGGTAAAACATGCTACTACTGATAGTTCTGTGCTGATAGCCTACAGTCATTGGCCTCTGCCTAAACTGTACCAACTTCACCTATAAAACCACAACCCAATGAAAACTCAACACAAAGGAAATAAAACAAAGCCCCAAGATAGCTGTATTCATTGCATGAAACAGGGTCAACTAAATGTGTCTTTATTTTTTAAAGCTTATTATAGATTTATCTGAAATTTTAATTTTTGGAAGTCAAAAGTTATCATTAAAAGATTTAGGATGCAGTGTGTCATAAAAATTTTATGTGACATATAAGCCCAGTACTTCTTTCCTTGCTCTACTTTATTTAGTTATAATTAGGCACATGATAGCATGACTTTACAGAGTTGTCAATCTATATAATATACAATATTCCGTGAGCACATTAAATCCATTCTTCCCATTAAGTCTTCCTATATATAAACCAAATAGAACATCTATTCTCTGAGAAATTAAAACTATAAACTTCATTCAAATACATGTAAAAATTTAAAATGAAGAAGGGGCAGTGTGTAAAATAAAACGCAAGATTAAGATAAAAAATGTTACTTTACATTATAAAAAATGTTTGCACTGACAATGATATGTTTGAGAAGAGATCGATGGATAAAACTAGTCCATATGATGAATGTAATAAATACACTTTTACCTGCAAGGATTTTTCTGGCTTTAATTTAATTAAATCCATTCTCCTGGGTAGTAATGGAGTCCTGTACCCTACTCATCTTAGGCATCTTCAGTCTCCTGAGCTGCCTTAAAACCTTGACATAATAAAAGGTCAAGCGGATCCTAGTAAGCATTTGTAAACGACAACAGCCCCCCATTTTGGGCTCACTCTCTTGTTTCATTTCATTGTATAAGCAGGCTAATTTGGAAACAGCTAGGGTACTTGGGGACACCTAGATTTTCAAAACAATCCCACTTTCCTACTTAACCACCTAAAGAAGTGACCCATAATACAACATTTGAGAGAACTGTAAAATGGTGCCTGGATACTGAAGGAATGAAGACCAAATACCAAGCAGCACTATCAGATAAAATGAATGCATCTCACCTTCCAGCTCATGTGTGCATCCTGGGACACAAGGCACAAACATGAAAGGGATGGAGCAGAATTTCGAGAAAACTGATTTGTTTCAACATTCACTTGGCAAGATGCTGAACACAAAATAACACCTCAAGGCACCTCCCTTTCCCATCATTGTAAATTCAGGGCTCTCAAGTCACCCCCCCACCCCGGCAAAACCAATTAAAAATAAAGAAAAGAGGCAGGCTATGAATTTGCATCTAGTACTATGATACAGATTAAATGATAGGCATCTGTCCTAATTGGTCACAATGAAACTAAGGGACAATAACAAGAATAAATCTCACATTAATCCAAATGAAGCCAATGAATAATACAAACCAGAAGCACAGTTTCAAAAATATGCAATTACCTCCAAGCATGCAAGGGCATTTATAACCCATAAATATGATTGCAGAGCACAGTAAGCATAGAAATATATTTCATAAATGACTACTTATGCTAAGAAACATGTGTATATATGATATGCATACTCATAGGATATACATTTGTATGTTCACAATCACATCTACCTACTAAAAATCAAACTCCATCCAGCAAATGGTTTCTCAACAGGAGTACATTAGAATATGAAATAGAATGCTAAATTCTGAGGCCACCTTTTCTTAGCGATAAAGCAAATAAGCAAAATCACCTCATAATTAGGCCAGGAAGCTTAAGAGGCACCCAAATGGGTTTCTGAGGAAGGCCCAACCCTGTATGTGAGAGCTGCAAATTAAACCAGTCCTTTCAATAACACCCATTTCTTGTTAGCTCTTTTTCCACCCCCTGATTCTGCTGCTAAGCTTGGAAGGAAAGGAACCAAGTGGCTCAGTCTGCATTCTGAGCCAGTTCAAGATAAAATCAGAACACCATTTTTTCTTTTTTAAACACAGCGGATGCTTTCTTACTTCTCTCTTCCTGGCAACCTTCCTCTCTCTCCATCCCCATCTCTGTCTCCACATCTTCCTCTCCTACTCCGAGGAAGTCATTGTTCAAGTGCTGGCCACAAATGTACACTCAGGTCCATTAACCGGCAGCTAAACCAAGAAGATAGCCCCACAGTCTCCTACTCACCATGCTGAGACCCGGAGAAGCTGCTGAAAGGAGGGAAAGATGCAAACTGAATCCATTTTCCTTGTGACCGAGTCGGATGCAGCCTCCGAACCCAACATCGGCAGCTGCTGCTGGGATTTTGTTCCCTCGCTCTCTGGTTGGCGATGGTGCGAACAGGAACCACCCTTCCAGCCTCACTAGAGCATCAGCAGTCGAGGCGGCGGGAGCAGCGGCATCACCACCTGCCTCCTCCCTCTCGGAGGATGGGGTGAGCTCAGAAGCAGCCAGGAACTTGCAGCAGACACCTCCTCTGGCTCCTCCTCTCCTGCCCCCTCCCCCAAAGCCCCACCCCTGCTGCGGTAGAGGCTGCCGGTCCCGGCCGCTGCTGGTTGTCATGGCAACGACCAATGGTGAGCCACCAGACTAAGGGGGAGGGGAGATGGGTGAAATGAGCTACAGGGGCTGGAGGGGAGTGAATTTTGTGCTGCTGCCCTCTGGGATGCTTTTGGCCTCTCCTACCTGGACTCTGGGTCTTTAAAAATGGGGCAAAGGTGTATAGACACAGGAAGAGAATCATTTAAATGTAGTCCAAATCAAGACTGAAACATACAAAATAACTTAGCTATTTGTTGCACTTACTATGGTTTTCCAACACAACCTATTAAAATTTGCCATCAGAAAAAAATAATAACAAATGGGGAAAATCATATCGTGTACTGGGAGATTATAATTACTCCAAACATGTTTGTCCTTGATGGTATCTTTTATTCAATGTCACTCACGATTGTTAAAAAGCAAAGTAAGTGGCTGGACTTTACAATAAAGTAAGAGTCTGATTCCTTAGCGCTACCCTCTGCTTGTTCTTCTCAAGTGAGTTACTTGGTCTCACTGTTTTTCCAGTTCTCTCCTTGAACAGGACTTGGAGGTGTATGGCACTCCCTTGTGGAAAAGGAAGTTGGAACAGAGGGAACAGAAATTTCTTGAGCAACCACATGGTTCTCAGGAACACCAAACAGTTGGTGGATAGTTCCAAACCTTTGGAATGTCAAACTCCTGGAGTGTTAAGTTTCCTGCAGAAAATTCTAAGCCATTTTCATGGACGCCATTTTCATGGATGCCTTGGAGTTCCCAAGCCAGCTGGTAGTCAGGATGGTAGGTAGAAAAAAGAAAGTGAAATCAGCAGTGTTCTGAGTTCTTTGTGAGTTCTGTTTAGTTCTGTTTCTAACTATAAATTATAGATGACACTAGTATTTATCTCATGCAGTAGTTGTAAAGAGCAAATGAAATAATGCATTAATAGCCCTTGGCATGTAGTAAGCGTGCAAATAAATGTTTACTACTAGTAGTAGTAGTAGTAGTACATTGTAACTGCCTCTTAATTCAAGGGCTCGAGGAAATAGCATGGCAAATTCAGACAAGCGAGAAAACAATACATGATAGATGTGTTGGTGATGATGATGGCAAAGACAGAGAGATCCTGAAAGAAGAAAAGTTCTCTAAAATGTGACAGTCGAGGATATTCTAAGTCTTAAAGGACTTAGATAAATTTCCCAAATTTACACAGCTAATTAATGATATGGCCACAATGAAAACTCTGATCCTTCTAATACTAACATTTGCTCCCCCCTAATCATTACAGTTTTCTGCCACTACTCCATGGAATTGGAGATACCCTTTGTTCTTAACCTATAGGGTTATTTATAAATTCAAATAGGATTAAGGTAATTTTCAGAGTCAGACAGCCTGGGATCCATTTCTGGTGCCAGTATTTACTATAAATATGACTTGACACACAATAATTAACTTCCCTGAACCGATGTTTTTGGAAATAATCATAGAACCTCATGGAGTCACCATGAGAATTGAACGGAATGATGTATGTAGAGCATTAACACAGTGTCTAGCACATAGTAACTGTTCAATAAATGGTAGCTATGATTATTTGTTACTCATTCTTAAGTAATTAATATTAAAATGTAAGTTTTTTTTTCCTAGATGGGGTCACTCTTGATGCCAGGGCCTTATTCTAACAAAACTAACTTGAAGATAATTAGGTGGTCAAGGAAAGGGCTGCAGTCATCCTCATTACCATCCTTGGCCTTACCTCTTTGTCCTCTACCAAGGGAAGCCTGCATCCTACTCTGTGCAGCTGGTGGCTCCTGCCTCCCCCCAGAGACTGAGCCACTATGCAGTCTGCACATACTTCCACACGAGCATCACGTAAGTGTAGTCATGCAACAGAAAGGAATGGGTTGTCTTGCTTTATTGTGCGTGTTCTCCTCTGTATTTCAGCTTCTGTTGTCTCCACAGAGATGGTCCTGTAAGCAAGCAGAAAGGAAAGCTGCAGGTTGTGGAAGCTCAGGCATGTCTGGGTGACACAACCCTCCCCACCGGCCTTGTGAGGGAGCATTTCATCTTTCACGCCAAGAGCTGACTTGGTTGGGGTGAGCCATTCCAGTTTTCTCTCCTCCCATCAACAAAGGCAGAATTAACTGGGGGAGAAAACAGTGTTTGGTGTTCAAACAATTTAGTCATTCAAATGCTCTCCCACCTTTTACCATATCCATGAAGCACTGTATTTATTATTTTACAATCGTTTTTTAAAAATACTTAATTATTTACTATTTAATCTACTTTATTTGTAATTTTAAAATGAAATTTGTCTCTGACTTCAGTAGAATATAAATAAAAATAAGCATGGTAAAGAGAGTGTCCTCAGAGAAAGGAACTTAAAGCAAAATCATACATTTTGGGGGGCTGAAACAGACACTAATTTTATTTGTAATATTTTTTTATAATTTTAAAATTTCATTCCTGCTCTCCATTGCCATCTCCTCTTTAATCATGCTTTATTTTTCCATGGTATTTGTCATCTTCTATTATACTATATTATTTATTTGTGCTTCTACATATTTTGTTATGTTTCTCTCCACTAGAATGTAAGCTATGAAAGGGCAGGGATTTCTGTTTACTTATGTTTCTGAACAGTCCCTGACCTATATTAGGTGCTCCGTAAATATTTGTTGAATGAATAAACCAGTAAATAAATAAAATATCAACAACTTCTGCATTGAATCATGGCTATATAAGCTATTGTTAGAATATTATTTGTCCAGTTACATATTTTTGACATTTCTCAAAATTAAAAACTAAGATAATTACACAAATTATCTTATTAGCATAATGCATATTAGCATAATGTCCATCTGATACATATTTTAAATATACATGGTTATGAAAATGGAAACGTTTGCTCATGCATATTCAAAGTCATCTAGCATATCGCCGGTAGTATGCATGGTGTTCAGAAATACTGATTTTGTTCTAAGAATGTCTTCTCCAGTAGTACTAACAGTGAGCAGACTGTCTACCTCTTCTGGGACCTTTCCAATTTTGACTTCTGGATTCTATGAGATGTCTGAAAAAGTACAGGGTGTGGGTCTTGGCTCCAAAAGCAGCATTAAATTTTCAGGAGAAACCACAGCATAATGGGAGGAAGCTGCAAAGTGTAGGCTCTGAAGACAGACTTTTTGGAATGAGTTCATGCTTTACCATTTGTTTTCTGAATGACCTTGGGCAAGCTGCTTAATTTCTGTATGCCTCAGTTCCTTCATTATATGACATGCTAGGAGTACCTACTTCATTGGATTGTTCTGAAGATCCAAGTTATTGTTGCAAAAAGCTAACAAGTACCTGGCATATAATAAACAATAGATAATATGTAGCTCACACCATTATAAATATCATTTTAAATAACTATGGTTATGCATAGCATATTATTCTGGATGTTTCCAAAACACTCAGATCACTCAAGGTTATTCTAAGAACTTGTTATGACTGCAGACCTGCTTTCAGCAGACCATGAGGATTTCTACAGATGTTTACCTCAGAGATAGGCCAATGTCTTGATTTCCCTAAAAAGGGGACAAAAAGGGAGAAGTCTCAGTCAGAAGTGAATGTTTATTCTTTGTCTACTCTGTAAGAGGTTATTAACATATTATGTATTTACAAAGAACATTAAATGTAAGCTGTCAGGATCTTTATGAGTTCGTTAAGAAAAAAACACATCATTTGGACCTCACTGCATATCCTTTATCAATACTACGAGTAATGGGGCACCTGGCTAGCTCAGTCGGTAGAGCATGTGACTCTTTTTTTTTTTTTATTGAGAGAGAGAGAGAGAGAGAGAATGGTAGAGAGAGAGCATGAGAGGGAAGAAGGTCAGAGGGAGAAGCAGACTCCCCACCAAGCAGGGAGCCCTGTGCGGGACTCGATCTCGGGACTCCAGGATCATGACCTGAGCCGAAGGCAGTCGCTTAACCGACTGAGCCACCCAGGCGCCCGAGCATGTGACTCTTGATCTCGGGGTTGTAAGTCTGGGTGTAGAGATTACTTAAAAGAAAATAAAATCTTAAAAAAAATACTACCAGTAAGCAAAAATATTAGAACCCTCCCCTGAACTCCATACTCTCAAAGCCAACCATCTTATGAATGACTGCCTGCATAGTAGGTGGACACACTGGCCTTTGCTCACCCTGTTCCCTGCCCCAATTCTTCAATCTTAATGATTTCCCCATCACCTCCTTTGGGGAGTCTTCAACAACCATACCAGGATTAGGATTAGAAGTGATGTTCCCATTGTTCCCTGTCACATCTTTATTGCTGCCCTCATGATGTTGAATGGCAAATAGTTTTTTCTTTATCTTTCTTTCCTATTTGACTGTAAGCACTTTGAGGTCAGGAATATACTGTTCATTCATTCATTTATTGCTATGCCAACCTAACAAATATTTATTGCCAGCTGCTACTGTGTGCTGTCCTAGGTGCTACAGATATAGCTGTGACTAAGACAACATGAACACGCTCTCCATGGAGCTAATAATCTAAAAGGAATGACAGACTACATAATAAAACGTAATTAAATTATGTTGAAGGCTACAACAGAGAACCATCAGAAGTTCTGATAGCATATAAAGGGAAGATATAACTGAGTTTAGGAGCCAAGGAAGATATTACCGGTGGGATAATAGGGTAGGGTAGGGGCAGCTGGTTTCAGAAGAAAGGAAATGTACACAGGTGCTGAAATGTGCAAGAACTTGCAAGTTACT